AAAGGTATTGGTATCAGTTACAGCTTATGTTTAGAAATGGAAACATATAAAAATCTATGCTGTTTTTGTGTGTGTGAATGTTACTCATATTTTATCTGTTTCTAAAGGTATTGGTATCAGTTACAGCTTATGTTTAGAAATGGAAACATATAAAAATCTATGCTGTTTTTGTGTGTGTGAATGTTACTCATATTTTATCTGTTTCTAAAGGTATTGGTATCAGTTACAGCTTATGTTTAGAAATGGAAACACATATAAAAATCTATGCTGTTTTTGTGTGTGTGAATGTTTCTCGTATTTTATCTATTTCTAAAAGTATTGGTATCAGTTACAGCTTGAGTTTAGAAATGGAAACATATAAAAATCTATGCTGTTTTTGTGTGTGTGAATGTTACTCATATTTTATCTGTTTCTAAAGGTATTGGTATCAGTTGCATCTTATGTTTAGAAATGGAAACACATATAAAAATCTATGCTGTTTTTGTGTGTGTGAATGTTTCTCGTATTTTATCTATTTCTAAAAGTATTGGTATCAGTTACAGATTGTGTTTAGAAATGGAAACATATAAAAATCTATGCTGTTTTTGTGTGTGTGTGTGTGTGTGTGAATGTTTCTCGTATTTTATCTATTTCTAAAAGTATTGGTATTAGTTACAGCTTGTGTTTAGAAATGGAAACATATATAAATATCTCTGTGGTTTTCATGTGTACCTATGTTCTCCCTGCTTTTGGAGGTATCAGTAGCTACTCTTGTATAAAAAAAGTAAATTTTCACTATGTTCAATCACACATTTAGATGTAGCAGTAGGTTATAACTCATGTTTAATAAACAGTTATTTAGACATACTTCAGAAGGATTGCACTATTAATGTACAGTAGATACTGTTGCTTCAGATTATCCCCACTGCAACATAGTTACATTGAAATGTGAAGTGGATACTGCTGTTTCAAATTAATCCCTGTTATCTGATTACAGCATAGTTACAGTGGAAGCTCTGTTATCTGATTACAGCATAGTTACAGTGGAAGCTTCGTTATCTGATTACAGCATAGTTACAGAGGAACCTCTGTTATCTGATTACAGCATAGTTACAGTGGAAGCTCCGTTATCTGATTACAGCATAGTTACAGTGGAAGCTCTGTTATCTGATTACAGCATAGTTACAGTGG